TGACCCCAAAATCTCTTCTTCCAGTTAGGCAAAATGTGCCACTGCAGCTAAAGCACCAAGTCAAGAGTCTGTATTAAAAGTATCTGCCTCGGAAACGGCTTAAGTGGGTCTGGTTTTTAATCTGGCTCCGTTGCTATTTCTCTCATTGTCCTATTTATTATAAAATAATAAATGCAAAACCTTTGTTAGTGAGATATTACACTAAACCTCTGAGGCAGGACTAACTTGTCAATAGAGCTGGAAGGAAAATCTTTCCGGAAGGAAAGTGGTTTTTCAAACAATACAGTACATCTGCGGGAAATGTTTATACTGTTTGAAATGTTTTGCCAAAACAAAGGAAAAGTGGATTTATTTTAAATGGGAAAACTTCTGACTTCCAGGCTTTTTCCTTCCTTTCTTTTCCCCTTTCCATTCCCTCTCCCTCTCTGTAGAAAAGAAAAAGGGAATGGAGGCAATGGGGAGAGAGGGTTTTTTTTTCCTGATTCAATGAAAAATCATATTTCTGAGAAAATTCTGGGGTTTTTTCTCTTGAAAATTTTCACTGAAAATTTACCTTCCCTCCCCTCCAACCCTGCTTATTAATATTACACACTCAGGCTTGGGTACCATATGCGGGGGGGAGGATGCAAGTGCCTCCCAGGAGGAGTTTATAGGGCTGTCCTTCTATAGAGACGCACACCATCTCTTGGGGTATGTCTACACTACGGGATTAATCCGAATTTAGATAATTCGAATTTGGGAAACAGGTTGTATAAATTCGATTGTGCGCGGCCACACTAAGCACATTAATTCGGTTTTTAACCACATTAATTCGGTGGTGTGCGGCCACACTAACCCTAATTCGAATTAACAAAATCGATTTTGGCGCTACTCCGCTCGTCGAGGTGGAGTACAGAAATCGATTTAAAGCACCCTTTAATTCGAACTAAATGGCTCTGTAGTGTGGACGGGTGAAGGGTTAATTCGAATTAACACTGCTAAATCCGAATTAATCCCGTAGTGTAGACCAGGCCTTGGAGTGGTAGATGAGATCACTTAAGTTAGAGCCACTATTCGAGGTGGCCAGCAGGGGGTATGTAGCCAGGAGGTAAGGGGGGTGGGGGGACGGAAACACAGACAGTCATGAATTTACCCAGAGTCCGGTGGCCTGGTCTCTGTGTGAAACAAGCACCGAAGGGATGAACCTGGTGCCCCATGCACTCTGCCTCTTCCACTCTTGGTCACCCAATTTGGGCAGAGCTGGGTCCTTTGCTAGTGCTAGCACCTTGCACTTCCTGAATTCCCTCACTGTTCCCATCCCCAGGAGGAGGATCCAATGTGGACATGGTCTCTGGGCCCTCACTTCCCCATTAGGGGTCAGCGTGAGGCAGGGGACAGACTGAACCTAGCGCGATTGTGGACGCAGGCTAGGCAGGTGGCTCCTTGCTTACTGTCACAGAAGAGCTTATTAAACCTATGGGCTGTGCACACAGCTTTGTCTAGCCGGAACCAGGCTCGTATTATCCTCCCTTGTTCTCACCACCCTGCTATTCTGTTTCTTTCTGTGCTAAATGACTGGGGTTTAAGCTCGGGTGGAGCAGAATTAATAACACCTGGCTCTTACATAGAGCTCTCATCAGTAGATCGCCAAGCACTTTACAAAGGAGTATCATTATCCCCACTTTACAGATGGGGAAACTGAGGCACAGGGGGGCAGTGATTTGCCCAGGTTCGCCCAGCAGAATAGAACCCAGCAGCCAAGCTGGCCCAGCTGTCCTGAGTCCCAGCACTGGGTTCTGTCCACTAGGCCAATTAAGAGTTGACTAAAGATCAGGGAATAAGGCACCCCCCAAAAAAGTCTGGCCATTTTCTTATGGAAATTACAGTAGGGGTTAAGCTTACTAGCACCAGGTAACGTGCTGAATATTTTAAAGGCCCCCTTCTAAGAGAGAGATGGGGGATGTAAATACTACTGTTCACGTTCCAAGGCATGAGAGACGGCTCCTGCCTCCTGGTTTTCTGTATGTATTTCTCATCCTTGTTTTACCTGAATTGCAGAAGTATTCCCCTCCCCCTCTCCCTCCCCCCTCCTTTCCCCCTGCACTCTGACAGGAGCACTTCTAAAGAGCCAGGAGAACCAAACACCAGCCCACCTGACAGCCGAGCAGGGAAACTCTGACAATGTTCTGGTTCCAGTGTGACAAGGCATCTGAAAGGAAAACACTAAACAACAAAGCTACCCCTGCTACCTCTCATTACTTAAGCTACACTGAGGCCATTTCCACATTAGAAAGCTTGCACCGGTCTGACTAAAATCAATCCGGTTACCTCACAGGAAATCCCAAATTTAGATGCGCTTGAACTCATTTAAATATGGAGATATACCTATCTCATAGAACTGGAAGGGACCTTGAAAGGTCATCGAGTCCAGCCCCCCGCCTTCACTAGCAGGACCAAGTACTGATTTTTGCCACAGATCTCTAAGTGGCCCCCTCAAGGATTGAACTCACAACCCTGGGTTTAGCAGGCCAATGCTCAAGCCCCATGCAGAATGATTTTCACTATACCAGCTGCACTAATGCAGCAAGTTTTCTAATAGAGACAAACGCCTAAAAGGAAAGAGGGGTTAGAGTCCAGGAGAAACTACAGAGCTGCCTCAGGCTTTACAGAAAGTCTCTGCAACTGGTTAGCTCACTCATTTAGGGAGAAGGGTAGGGAAGAGTGGCAGTGTTGGGGGAACTGTCCCTGAACCAGCAAGCCCCCCAAACAGAAGAAAAGGGGCTGCCCGGTGATTGCTGAGATGAGACGCGTGGACGGATCCCATAAGAAAGCAAGCCGAGACCATGGCCGGACTGAAGCCAGGCTGAGCAGGCTCAGAGACTAGGGAGAAAAGGTGACCCCGTCGTCCACTGCACAATCCTTTGTGTTAACAATAGTGACTTGGAGTTTTTTCTGACACTCGCCTGTCAACAGACTCCCACAGACAGGCTCAGCTGCAGCTTTGACTCAGCTAAACCCTTAGCCCTGAGGCTGCTGTCATTTGATTCCTGTTAGAGAAATCCGCCTGCCTGCACACTGAAGTTAAGAGGATTAATTCATAGGTTTGCAGGCTTAAGGCTAGAAGAGACTCTTAGATCCTATCACAGGCCATTAAACCTCACCCACTTACCACTGTACAGAACCCAGTAACTTGGGCTGGACCAACCCCACACTACTCTTTCTGGGTGCAGGGTGTTTGCCTGTCTTAAATTCAATCACCATTGATCTGATCATTCAATTGCTGAAGGAACAGACTGTATTCAAGCCTCCGAGCAGGGATGCGGCAGCTTGAACAGTCTGAACAAGTGTTTTACGGCTTTTGCTGAAAGCCTGTGAGAAATGGAGTGGTCGGCTATCCTGGAATGCAATGTGGTGAGTGGTGGTTTCAACCACTTCACAGTAGTGATGTGAGGGGGTTGCGGGGAGGGGAAGGCTTTTACCGCTGAGGTGGTAATGATAAAAGAGAATTTGATTTTTATCTACTCGGAGAGTTGGCTCTTTTGTCTTTAAAGAGCACCAGTCAAAATGGGCTCTTGTGATGACACAGTCTCTGCACGGTTTCTTTAAGATACCGTTTCATTTAAAAGCCCCTTTGTACCTATGGCCAAGCCTTTGAAAATAGGAGCTTAAAGTTAAACTCCTAACATCTGTCTTTAGGCACCTGCCTGACTTTTGAAAGCGCGGAGCACCCAGCTGCTCCCATGGTTGCGCCGCGCTGTAGAAATCCAGGCCCTGGCATTTAGATGCCTCAGTACAGGCGTGGGAGGCTAATTTTGGGTGCCTATTTTTGAACATTTTAGCTGAGGTGGTTTAGGTCATCTTTAGGGTTCAGCGAGAGTTTAAAATGAACTGCTGGCAGGGAGGTGCCTAACTCTCCTGGACTTTCACTGGGAGTCAGGCACCTATCTGCCATTGGTGCCTTTGGAAATCTTCCTCCTTAAACTACAGGGACAGACGTCTCATAGGAAGTGCTGATGCTGAGTATACACAAATGGTCATTGCTAACGCTTACTTTTACCTAAAGATCAGCTTGGGATCTGAGGGTCTAAATGGGAAGGGGACATTTCAAGGCTTAAAGACATTCCTGGATGGTATTGTACCAATGTAGGGCCTGAACCATTCTCACCAAAGCCACTGGAAGTAGGACTGGGCCCTTATTCTTGAAAGAAAATGTCTAACCCAAATGACAGAGTCCTGTGGCACCTTATAGACTAACAGACGTATTGGAGCATAAGCTTTCGTGGGTGAATACCCACTTCGTCAGACGCATGCGTATTCACCCACGAAAGCTTATGCTCCAATACTTCTGTTAGTCTATAAGGTGCCACAGGACTCTTTGTCGCTTTTTACAGATCCAGACTAACCCGGCTACCCCTCTGATACTTAACCCAAATGAGTTATAGAAATAGTCTCACTTTATTGCGGGATTATCTTGGGACTCCTGAGGTCTGAGTCTCATCTGTGATGGATCCCTGCATTCTGATAAACCTTCCCCGTCATTCTTTGAAGCCCTGCTGGGAGTGGCAAGCCTCCCCCTCCCCCCCCCCCCCCCCCCCGACACCCAAACTCTTCCCTCTGAAAGAAGCTGAAAGAAGAACGCTGCCTTTCTCCACGGTAAACCCAGCTCCTGGTCAAGCAGCGCTTTGGGGCTCAATGAAGTTCTTTGCCTCTTTCAACCCTAGGGTCCTACAGGGCCTGGGTCTCCTCGGGGCAGTGCTCAGCACTCAACTCACGCTAGGCAATGAATAATCCAAAAGAGCTTTCCCCTGAAATTAACCAAAGATGCACTGCCATCTCAGTCAAGTGCAGTGACGGCCCATTACACACACCTTGACCTGCAGTGCCCACATTGCTAACATACCCAAAGGTGCTTTAAAAATTAAATGTGTGCAAGTACATCACCTTCTCAGCCTGCTGCAGGTTTGGTTTCCCCGTCCCCCCACCTTCTGCTCTTGCAAGGTATTGATAGAGGAAGAGCTCACCTTTTTAAACATTGCTTTTCTTCTAGGTGGGTGGGGGGTGGTCTTCAATCCATTGAAAGTTTGAAACAATGCTGGCTGGGAAGCAGCAGTAGCAGCAGGGCTGGGCAGGTGCTCAAACAAGTTAAATCCAGGCAAACTAGAAAGTAAAAAGCACACCTCTTGAAACTCCCCACTGAGAGCCAGGTACTTTCACCAGCACGCTGGTTGCTCCTAAAGATCAACACACAAACACAACAGTGCTTGGTAAAGTTTAAGGTCCACTGATTCAGCAGCTAGTTGATTTGCCTTTAAGAATGCAGAGCCATAAAAACCTGTAATCAAGGTGAGTTGTGATTTGAGTGGAGCTGGCCTCTGCTCCGAAGGGCGGAGCCCTGCGCACGCCTGTGAAATGCTGAGGAGAGTGATTCTGCTGGCCTGGGTTCCCTTCCTTTCTACAGTTTCATAATCCTATTCCTTTCTGACTTTCTGCTAGGTCCTGCAAGTGTGTCCGCCCCTTGATTTCTTGTTTCCATTGTGATTCGCGATCATGTAACATCCTGCTTATACAAAAGAATGACTCACTAGTTTGAGGGCCCTGGGAATTCAGGAAGTTGTTAATATTCCTAAAAATCTCCAGGCCTGATCCTTGGACCTGCTGAGCTGTGCTCAGTGCAAGGTGGGGGAGGGGGAAGTGTTCCATTCTCAGCTTCAGAAATGATGGAACAGGCCCCTTAGGTCCACTACAGAGCCCAAGATCACCTGTATTCTCGCCACCCTGGGCATAGGTGCTGGAACTAGGGACGTGGGGGGTGCAGCAGCACCCCCTGGCTTGAAGTGGTTTCCATCATATACAGGGCTTACAATTTGGTTCAATGGCTCTCAGCACCTCCGCTATACAAATTGTTCCAGCACCTCTGCCCCTGGGAGGGCCAGGAATGGGTGAGGTTAGGTGTTACTTCTCATCTGTGTATCGATGCTCTGTTCGTGCCCTTGTGCCAGGAGATGTTCTGGCCGATATGCAGAGCAATTCCAATTTGCAGGGATGTATTTTCTGCTTGCTACGTGGTTGTGAATAGCAAATCCACTCTCTTTGCAAAGAACCAGAGAGGGTGGAACGGAGGTGGAGACAGACTCTAAGACTTGGATTTTCTTGCTTCCTTTTTAATTAAAGGAATGACTAGTTACTCCAGGCAACTGGAGCCTGCTTGTTCATAGAGAAAGAAGGCTCTTGTCTCTCTCAGGGAGCCTAATACAGCAATAGTGAGGAAACCACTGCCCATTAATGTAATGGCATATCCTGCATCGAGAATGAGAAGAGACAGCAAGGATTGCAGCTGGTGTAAACAAGCATCTGTCAGTGTGGACAACGCTTGCAATTTTAGCCCAAGTCTCATGACGACGTTCGGTGTCTTTGCCTTCAAGCCTCACCTCTCGGACTCGTGTAATAACGTGATCATCTGATTGGTTTTGTTTTTAAGCAAGTTTCTAGCCCTTGTGGTTATGGAGAAAAATTTGAAAACATGAGCCCTAAAAGCTGGAGAAAAACCAATTAAAATCTCGACATTTTAAAGCCAATCTTGTGATTTTGGGGGCCTGATTCGTTGGATCTCTGTTATCGCCAAAGAAATGCAGAGTAATGCCATTGTGGGTGCTGAGGAATTACACCAATGTCATTCAGAGCTGGTCTGTATACCAACTTGCACCAATATAACTAAATCTGTTTCCTATAACTGAGTGGGTTATTTTGGCACAAATCATTCCCTGGCCACTCTTATTTCTGAATCAAAGTGACTAATGTCAAATTTTTACCAACTTAGCTAAAGCGATTTAGCTCTCTTTTTTTTTTTTTTTCTTTTCTTTTCTGAAACGAGTGTGTCTACACACAGTTTGGTACCAAAATAACTGAACTGGCTCGAATTCTTATTGTTTTAGTGTGAATCTGTGTGTAGATGGGCCCTGAGAGCTGACTCTGACCCCTCTGCATAGAAGAGGTACCACTGGAGGCAATGAAAGCACTACACTTCCAAGTGGAAACTACATGGTGGGTGCACTGTGGCATTTTCAGAGCACTCGGGCTTTCAGTTCTGACCATCAGTTTCAGGACTTAAAGATGCCACATCCCCTCTTTCTCCCCTCCCCCCACCTGCATCAACAGGAGGGGGAACTTGATGGGGCCAGCAGTGAAAGGAGGACAGTCCTTTAGTAGCAAGAGAGTGGGAGCCTGGAGCACTGGGCCTGGTGCAGGACCTGAAGCCTGAACCAGAGGCTGTGAATCAAAGTTAGGCCATGTATTAAAGCGGATACTCACAAGTTCACTGTCTGGTACGTGAACTTGGCAAAGTTGCTGCCAGTGTTGTTACAACACAGGCATTCCTAAGAAGTACTAGGCACTAGATATTTACGTAAGTACATTCCAGAAGGCTAGTACAGATATATAGATGATATAGTACAAGATAAGGTGATTTGAGAGAACAATGAAAGGACGTGTTTTGTCTGAGATATCAGGAACAAGGGGAGGTAACAAACAGATGGTATGAAAGTTGTTTAGCCCGGTTGTTTGTCTCGGTCTATAAATGTTGGGGTATCCCACCCTAACCCTTTGTGTGGCGGAGGGGACAGCAGAGATTCCCGCTGCTAACTGAGCTGCTGCTTGCCAAGAGGCACTCCTGTTAATGGACTTGTGCAAGTCATTAGGATTGTGCCTTGAGGGCAATAAACCTGGTCGAGTGCCTTTGTCACTGAACCATGCCTGTGGTCTTTCTCTAGGAGTAACATCAAGGTCTGCTGAATTAGCAGGCTGTGCTCTCTGCTAGTGCTGATCACACCGGAGCACCCAGGAGAGGAGCACTGAGTGGCTGTAACAGCTTAGCAGCCTTGACACCATGCAGCAGCAACATTATTCCACCCTTCTAGAAGTCCCTGTGGCAAAGGAGGGAGACACTCACCAAGTCATAATAGGTAGAGCCTCCCCCTGGGAGTCTCTGGTACCCATTGGCCGACTGGGGGACTGATTGGCCAGCATTCTCCAGCTGCCAGGATTTAACTCTGAGCGGGAGCCATATGGAGTCTCTTTCGGCTCCGTTCCAGCAGCCATTGCACCCACACAAACGAGGAGTGGGAACCTAGCCTGACAGATGCTGCAGGTCTAGCTGATTGCCTCTGTAGGGTCAGGAAGGAATTTTTTCTCCCATGGGCCCACTGGCAAAGGACTAGGGAGTTTCTTCCCTTCCTCACAGCCCCTTCAAGCCACAGTGGGGTAAGTAGGAATGTGCCTAGTACCATAGGCGCCGACTCTGAGGGTGCTCCGGGGCTGGAGCACCCACAGGGAAAACTGGTGAGCACCCACCTGCAGCTCCCCGCCCCGCCCCAGCCTGCCTCCACTCCACCTCCGCCTCCTCCCCTGAGCGCGCCGCCGTGTCCTGCTTCTCACTCCCTCCCTCCCAGCGCTTGCGCCATGAAACAGCTGTTTCGCGCAGCAAGCCTGGGAGGGGGGGAAAGGCGGCGCACTTGGGGGAGGAGGCGGGGTTGGGGTGAGGATTTGGGGAGGGGTGGAGTTAGGGCGGGGACTTTGGGGCAGGGGTGGAGTCGGGGCGGGGGCGGGGCCAGGGGCGCGAGCACCCCCGGCACAGAAAAAAGTTGGCGCCTGTGCCCAGTACCTAACTGAGGTACCGGAGTGGAGTTGTTTCTTTGTCGCACCTTGTGGCTGGTTTCCAGTGTGGTTAAGAGAAACCAATGAACAGTTCCCAGAGATAAAAGGCCTGGGATTTTGGTGAGTGGGCCTTGGGTTCGAGTGATAGGGTGAGACCTTGTGACCTTTGTAGGCCATGGTCAGACCTTGTGTCCCTTGCAAGCCGAGGTCCCCACCCTGCTGCACCCTCTGTCCCCCTCGGGGTGGAGGGGAGGGTGCTAGGACACAGAGAGAGCTGAGTTCTGGGGGGTAGGCTGAGGAGAGCCCGTATAACCCATCATGTGGGGTAGGAAGGAGCCCTGTAACCCTGGCACTAGTTATGGGTTATATGATAGGAGCACTGGAACCCCCAAACTCCCCTATTATTTTCCAGGTTAGTATTGTCTAGTGATAGGCCTGAACCAAACTATAGTGGAGTTTGGTATTTGAATTTCACAGCTGGTTTTTATCTGACAGCTCTCATACTTCAGGGGCAGGAGGTCCTGAAATTCAGATTTGGATCCAAAACCAAATTTTGGCAGGGATGGTGTAGGAACATACTGCTTGCTGCAACTCGTACTCATCACTGTGAGGAGGCTGATTTAGCACCATAAAGTATGGGTGCTTGCCCAACATTTATGCCAGCCATATTTTGTGATTTTTGCCAAATTGTACAAGAAATCTTGCAAGAATGAATGTGAGAGAGAAGGCGGAGAGGGAGCCTTTGTTCTCCCATAATGCAATAACAAGGGGATAGTCAGTGAAAACTGACGGTAGCAAATTCAAAACCAATAAAAGGAAAAAAAATTTCCGTTCAATGTGTCATTAGACACTGGAACTCATTGCCCCATGATGCTGCTGAGGCCAAGGATTTAGTAAGATTCAAAGAGGGATAGAATATAACAAGAATCTCCAGTTATAACAGTTAATGCAAACAAAGCTTTGGATGAGATGCTTCAGGTTTTAAACCATTCTGTAACCTATGGTATAGAATAAGACCTTCCTGGGACCAGATTATAACACAGCTGCCTATTTTGGGGTTCTTGCACTTCCTCTGAGATGTCTGGAGCTCGCCACTGTCAGAGACACGATATTGGACTGAATGATCTAGTCTGGCAATCCCTGTGTTCCTAGAACAGATTGATTCCTGGTACTTGATGTTTCTGATTGGGTCAGATATTCTACAGCCTCTCTTGCTAGTACATTGGCATTTTTCTTCTAGTCTCATCTGGAGCACAAGTAGGAGGGGACTGAAAAAGTGGGGGAGAGGGAAGGATTTTTGAACATTAAAAGGGCTCAAAAAATAAAAATATCTGCACAGTGTAAATAGAATTCTTCTTCGAGTGATTGCTCATATCGATTCCAATTAGGTGTGTGCACGCCGCTTGCACAGTCGTCGGAAAGTTTTTCCCCTAGCAGCACCCATCCGGTCGGCTGTGGAGCCCCCTGGAGTGGCGCTTCCATAGCGCTCTATATATGATCCTGCTGACCTGGCACCGCCTCAGTTCCTTCTTACCATCAGTCGGAACTGTGGTGTCTTGCTCAGCAAGCTCTCCACGTTGCCCTAGCTTCTATCTACTTTAGTGTTTGTTTTCCTTAGTTAGTTTAGTTAATAGTTAGTGTAGTTTTAATAGTTCGCTGTTGGGATGGGGGGTTCCCCTCCAACCCGACTGTGCTCTCCCTGGGGACTCAGGGCATGCCTAATTCCCAGGGGTTCAAACCTTGCAAGTCCTGCAACAAGTCTATGCCAAAGGG